GTAGAACAAAAAAAATAAAGAACAAAAAAAAAATAAAAACAAAAATACACAAAATTTGTCATAATCTAACAAAAAAACAAATTAGTTTTTTGTTAGAAAAAAAAAATTAGATATCAAAATTTCAATAAAATTATTTACTAATAAAAAATGAGTCTAATTTTGTTTGTTTAGAATTATTTTTCACCAGATAAGCAAGCTCTTTTCGCATCCGCTTAAGTTCTGAAAAAACTTTAATATTAATCTCAAGACTTGACACTGGTTGTTCGATATAGTCTAATACTAAATCCAGTCCTGTAATAGTTTGAATTGCTGTAACAGGTTTAATTTGCTGCTCTGGTTCTTCTTCAGGTTTATTTTCTTGCATCTCTGCTATAATGTCTTCAACCGTAGACATTTCACTTGTATAATCATTTTCAATTTCAATAAATTCACGTGTAGAAATATTTAAATATTCAGGGTTTTCAGGATCTTTTGAATTTTGAAATCATGTAATGAGATTTTCTAACTCCATTTCATCTTCATTAGTTAGATCAACAAGAAATTCTGAATCCATATATTCATCAATTTCCATAGAAGGAAGAATACCTGTTTTTTGCCACGAATGAATAATTACATCTTCAGAAACTTTATTCCAAGCTTGTGAAACAAATTGAATTGCATTATAAATTGTAACAGAATCAGGAGGTTGATTAGTAAGGTTCAATTCATCAAATGCAGCAATTCGGTTTTGTAATAATAACTTACGATAGTGACACTATAAGTGCCTCATTTGCAGATTTGTATAACAAATGTTATCGTTATTGTAATTATAAGAATATTAACTTAAGTAAAAGATATGCACTAACCTTAAATGAGTAGATTATGCCTACATCACATGGTTGTAACCATGCAGTAGTAAGTTTTGAAAAAAAAACTACTTTAATATTACTGAAGTTTAAACCTAAAAAAGGATTTTCATAACTTTCCTGTACACATTTGGCAGGAAAAGAGATTTTATTAACAACAAGATAACTACTTTACAAAGAAAGAAAAACTCATTTAAGCTACAAGTAACAAGGGCTGAAGCCCTTGTTCCACTAAAAAGAAAACACAACCAAGCAGTTTCTTTAAATCAAA